GGAGTTTAAGGTACTCATTCCCAATAAACCCAGGCAGAAAAGAGGCATTTCGTTCATTTGCTTCATTTTCAGTGTTGCCGTGCTCGAAGATGTTTTAACACACCTTGTAAATCTCTGCTTATGAAATTTAGTGGCGCAGATCTGCCTAGGTAGTCACTCAAAGTTAGAAGCACAGATTTGTGCATTAGCCTATAGGAAAATGCATTCAGTTGGTTAAGGATGTGCCAACATTAGAGAATGGTGTCAGATTGAAGGCTGCTGAAATCATCTGTGTGGATGCTTGGCCATGCAAATTTGAAAGCCCAGTGAGGCCCTTCTGTGAATTTGGCCCTAAACGTTCTCTCTTAGGCAGATGAATGGCAAATTGTACATAAAGTTTGAAACGGCTTCGTTCTTGACCATCTGTTTTCTTGCTTTCGCTTGTTCCTGAGATAGCTTTTTGTTTTCTGCCATTGCTGCCTATGTTCCCTCGGATCAAATGCTCTTGGGTAAGTTGATTGGCCACAGAAGCTTTTGATAGGCCCAGCTGTAACCAGTCCTTGAGACTCTTCTAGTAGGTTTGTAGGGAGCAAGTGCTAATTTACTTGCTTGAATGTCTTTGTTTTGAGTTTAGGAGCTCAGCAGAGCTACAAAATAGATCCTTGCAGATAGATCTTGCTTTTGCAGCTGCCTGAGAAACAGGTTCCTATATTGATGCTGATCCTAAAGCTGCCTCTCAGTGGGCATGTCTCCATGGAGGTGGTCACTACTGGGTTTGCTGTTGGACTCGGATCAGCACCAGCTTGCTGTGTGCTTTTGTGGCTAAGGGATGGAGGAGGAATAAAACCAGATTATTTTCACTGGAAAAGAGACAAAAATGTTTCCATTTAATTTGATTGGCCTGTCATTGCAGGAGCTTCTAATGATGTCTGCATGGCACTCGGGGGACCACTCAGACTGGTGGAGGGAATCATAAGAGATATTGCTAGGAACTTAATCATCTCCTTTGATGCTGTTACAGAAGGTTGCACAGTAGCTACTGCTGGGTGCTGTGTAAAACTGCTTCTGAGGTAATTAGTGCCTTGTCCTGAAGGTAAAGTTTTAGTTGCTCAAAATCAGTGAAAATTAAAATCCATCGGTGTTTTTATTGTGAAGTTGCTGGGCTTGAGAGTAACAGGATCCTTAGGCATTAATAAAGCTCAGCCTTGATGGGGAGGGCCCCTATGGAGAAAAGATTCTCTCCCTTCTACCCGTAAGGCAGCAGTGTCTGTGGAAAGGGATCCAAATGGAAGGAGAAAGGCACTAGAGGCTTTGAAAATCCAGCAGAAAAGATCCCTTGGCTCCTCTCTTTTTTGCTACTGTAAGCAACTTCACAGCTGGTGTAGTCCAAATAATGCAGTCTTAGGAAAGGGAAGAGCAGCTTCCCTAGCCAGCAGTGTTTCTGGGAGCAGATCAGAGACCTGAATTTAGATCCCAGTCCTCCCAGAGGGTCCTGATCCTGATTCTTTCTCAGGTCCATGGGCCTCTTTCTCATTACTGGGCTGTGACCACTTGAACTCTGGGCTGCTCTTCATGGGTGGAGGCCAGTGTCTTCCTGGGGGGCTTCCAGATGCTTTTAGGAGCCCATTAGCACAGAGGAAGGAGACCATGTCCCAGGCACCTGCTTGAGGAATCTGCTCGTCCTGTTGCTGGAGTAGCTGCATGAGGGCAGGTACCTGCATCCTGCTTGAGAGGACGAAGTGCCAATGTTCGGGTAGCAAATGCAGCCACGCTTTCAGGAAAGTCAGCAAGGTACTTCTGTTAAAAGTGGGGCCTCAAAGGTGCTGAAAAGCTCTCCGATGGCTTGACAATAGTTATTAATGCTCGTAAGAATTAGTGAACTCCTCACCTCTTAGCAGAAGGCTGGAATAATAACTAGAGAGCCTTTGTACAGGCATTTTTGTGCAGGGAGCCCGTCTCCTTGAGCGTGGTCCTCTTCTCGCATCCCGTCCCCTGCTGGCTGCGTTTTTTATCTTCCTGATTTACAAAAGGGAATGGCTTTTTTTCCTCTCCCATGCTCCTGCCACAGGAGCGCAGGGGAGAGGGATTAGTGAGCTAATTAGAAATGATCGCATCTATCAACACTAATTAAGAATCCCGTGGTCTCGCTCGCGCGTTCTTTTGAGCTGTTCCCCTTCGGGACAGCACCACAATCACCCCCTGCCTTTGGGGCCGCTCTGTCCCTTCCGCGCTGATTGGAAGTGATGGCCGGGCTGCGTGTCGGGTATGGAAAATGCTGCTCAGGATGTGCTTTCTAGGCTGCTGCCTCCCCTCTCGTTCCCTGCTGTCACCAGGGGCACCCTGGCCTCCGTGGGCTCAACGCTGCTGCTCCTAATGACCAGAGAATGAAAATGGCAGGGGGATTTGTTTCCAACACCTCTTTCTTCCAGGGGCTTTTTCACTTGTGGCACTAGGGCTTACAGGGCTGCTTCTCCGAGGAGTTAAGTGAACCAAGATAGGTGCTGTCTGGGATCTTGCATGGAGCTGGAAGAGACCTAGGTTCTCTCCCCAGCCCTGTGGTAACATCTCAACAGCAGATCAGGTATTTGTTGTGCAAGAACAGTCCCAAGAATTCATCCAGACAAGACCTGAAACTAGTTGCCTTCTTTCAATTACTGTGCATAGATTGGATGAGAATGGCAGTAAAAAATTAACGATATTAACAGATTTGCCCAACAAACTTGCTTACCCAGGTAGTATGGCCACGTGGAATCCTACAAGAATACTTCAACGGGTCCTTCCTTCCATTTCCCTGCTCAAAAGCAGATGAGAGGAGGAAAAGAGGGGTCTGCAATGAGGATGGAGAAAGCTTTGATTCCATCTTCCTGCATTTTTCTCTGGTTAGAGAGGTGTTTACTGGAGAAGCTTGAAGTCATGTCAGATGCCAGCTTCGTCTCCTATTTTGTGCTAGCTCTGCAGAGTTACTGAGGCAAGGAAGGAGCTTCCTAAACTTGTCCGAAAGAGTCAAGCTAGAGGATATGAGCATTTGCTGAACCAGAGCCTCAAAAGCCTCTTGTGTGCTGAGGTACAAACGAGAGAGCGCGGTTCAACTCTGCTAACTGCATTTGGTAACAGGGCTGCATGAGGATTGAGGTAGGCTTTGAAGGTTCAGGGTGGGTGGGAAAGAGACAGAAAAATTGGCAGACACTTTGAGAGGGGCATTATTTTATTTAAAAATGTGGCATAATTCATTTGGCCGCACAAATCGGAAATAACACTTCATAATTAATGTTTGCTTCTGTGTTGATTGGAAGTCGAGCAGTTTACCTTCTGGAGTAGAAGCTGACAGTACAAGTAAAATATCAGTCTTAAGGAGACAAGAGGGAAACTAGCACATTTTCTTCCTAGAAATACTGCAGTACCTGAAATACATAGAAAAAGCAGGTGAGCTGTGGGGTTGTCGGTTTGCTGTACCCAACACGAGGACTGCAGAGCTGGCATGAGCAGGAGAAGCTTGGGTGATTGCTGAGAGCAGAATGCACTCGCTGAGGAAGGGCTCTGAATTGCCATGTCTCGAAAAACACTTTTGTGATGGTCTCGTGTTGCTATCTCTTCCTCTAGGAATGTGGTGTTTGCAGAATCTATTCTATCATGCCAAGAGTTAAGGCTTATGTTTTGAAGGGAGTTTTTCACATATCTCCATCTTTTGCTGAGGAAAAGCAATGCCCAGGCATCAATTTGAAGCCTTCTTAATCCTGTGTCACAGTCTGTAAGGGTTGGTGAACATTGCTGCGTTTGGTCTGCGGCACAGCATACGCAGCCCGGCAAGTCTTGAGTCTCTCCTCAAGAGAAAGCCCTGAATAAGATCCCCGTTTCTGTTGGTGTGTTCAGCTAAAGCTTTGCAACTCACTGGTGATGTGGATGTGCTCCAGCAGGCCATTGACAGAAACCTTCCTGTACCTGGGCCTCCCCTTCCTGGCGTTCCAGCACCTTCCTCTTACTTGCTGGCTGCAGGGAGCTGTTGATCTCACAGTCTTCAGGCGTGAAGGCTTTCAGAGCATGCTGCAGTGCTCACAATGTCAATACCGATTTCCTGCTAATGCAGCTTTTCAGTGGTGTCATCTCTCATTATCACATGGGCTTTCCTTGGGCTTTTCCTTGTCTCTCATTCAGAATTTTGACCTTCCTTATTAATTAAACAACAACTTTCCTCCAGCCAGTGATTGAGTTATTCAGTAATACCTGCCTAAAGCCATATAATAAAGGACAGAAGTTCTTTTTCATGCAAATGATTTGGTTCCAGATGTTTTGATCACATTAGACGATGACCCAAATCAAGCAGAGATTGGATTAAGCAACAGGCTACCATGGCTGCTTTTTCTGATCATCGTGATTCCTAATGTGTCTGTTTCCCAGAATACACACTAAAGAAGGCAGGGTAGCCCCCGGTTCTCTATACAGCTAGAAAAATATGAGATAAAAATGAGATAAGAATGTAGGTACAAATGTAGGTGCTGCATTTTCCTCGGTAAGGATCTTCCCTCTCCAGAAATGGTACCGTTACTAAGATGCTACCCTGACTTGTTGGTGACATTCTGGGAAGGAGTTGTTCAAGGTGTGCAAGAGATGGTGTGATTCTGAAAGCAGCAGTTATAAAATGTGACCAAGGCTTCTCAGGTGGTATATCAGCTTCCTAAGACCTGGGCAAATTCCTCTATAGGGAATAGTTATGATGAGGAGTGGTTTTTAGGATTAGAAGGCAAATCCAGAGCGGGATTCAGTGACTTGAGCACTCGGGTTTGAAAACAATTGGAAGCTTCCAAGAGAAAGTATTTAACCATTTGAATAACTTACCTAGAGTTGTGCAACAACTATTCCAGCTCCTGGCTCCCAAATCAAGAGTAGCTGTCTTCGTGAAATCAGACTGAACTAAGCCCGGGGTTAATAGAGAAAATACAAAGTGCAATTCTCTGTCTCTTAGAATGTCAGGATAGGGAATGGCAGTGGGATCTTCTGGACCAAAATCTTGTGTTTCTGCCAAGGCTTTACTGTTTAGAGAAGGCAGAGTTGAGTACGTAGGGAAGAGTCGATTTACAAACTTGACATGTTTTCCTTTTTTTGTTTTCTTTCCTTGGTTTCTCCACGCAGCTCGGATTGGGAAAATGAAACGGAGGAAGCAAGACGAAGGGCAGGTATGTCCCCTCTGCAGCCGGCCCCTGTCAGGATCCGAGGAGGAGATGAGTAGGCATGTGGAACAATGCCTTGCAAAGGTAGAGGCGCAGCAGGGCCGCCTGCTGCCATTCCCTTCTCCCTACTCCCAGCTTGGTCTGCAGCTGACCTAACGCGGGGCAAAAACTAACATTGCTGAGCCTGAAGGCAATGCTAACTGTCTGCCCAAGATCTGTAGCCACTTTCCTTTCTCTTGAAAGATGGGTTATTCTGGATTTTCTCCTGTGTTGTTCTGGTAACTTCTCTTTTTCGTGCACCCTTTCTGTTAAAAAAAAGTCCAAATTGTAGTCTGTAAAGGTTGTATTGAGGTTTTCAAAGCCCTTTGCAGGACTTAATGCTTCCTATGTAGCGAAGCAAAAAAGAGGAGTTCTTAAATTGTATGTCATCAAAGGCAGAGATTATCTTTTGTTAGATTTTTTTTTTTTCCCTGGTAGCAGCTTGGCATTTGTAAATGTTGCATGACCACCTCGCCCCAGAAAGTGTGAGAGAGAGGTCTCAGAGCTAAGCAGAGCCAATCCCTCGCCCGTCTTCCTGCAGACAGCAAGAAAGGAAGAACAAGCCCCAGGAGATAGAGCTCTGTCGTTGCGCTCTCCGTGCTTTTTCTTCCTGAAAAGTCCACAGTGAAGATAGCAAAAAGTTCTTTCTTGTTTCCTCAAGAGATGCAGGGTGTAAAGGTGTCTTCTGATCAGTGCGCTAAGTAATGTGCTCTAGGAGATACTTCCTTCTCCGTTTCTGTAGGTGGGAGTTTCTCTGTGCTGTGGATTAAAGGAATTTGTTATTTCCATGATAGATAGGAGAATTAGGGGAGGTAGGGGAAATGCATGCTTAAATGCACACCAGGATTGTTGTAGGAAGCAGAACTTAAATTTCTGTTTTGTTTGTTTGTTTTTAAAGAAAGTGTTCAAATCACTGGGATTGGGGAAGGGGATCCTATCTGTACTTAGCTGCCCTGGGAACGGTCCAGCTTTTCTTCTCCATCAGTTGTTAACCCCAAAGCACTGATTCATGTATCTCAATGCTCTGCCCCTGCTCTACCCTGTGCAGAGAGAAGGCTCGTGCATGACTGAGGATGACTCTGTGGACATCGAGAATGAGAATGGCAACCGCTTTGAAGAGTACGAGTGGTGTGGGCAGAAGAGGATACGGGCTACCACCCTCCTGGAGGGAGGATTTCGAGGTGCGCCAGTGTTTTGGGGACCCCTCCAATCCCTTGTTAAACGTTCTGCTGTGGAATTTAATAATTGCCCCCTCTTTAGAGGGAGGGACAGACTTGGGCTGCATCAGCACCCGGGGTTTTGCCCTTCACGATGGGTGGGATTGTAAAGTGATTCTGGTTTTCTGCGTCTCCAGAACAATGAGAGTAAAGATTTGCACAAATTTTGAACAAAAGCAAGGCTTTATTTCTCTCTTGAGAAATGTGACTAAAAGGAGAATGAGTAGGAATGGATAGAATGGGGAGATCATTTGGGGAAATAGCTTCTTATATGTTGCACATAGTAAGAAGTACGTGGAAATATTTGAGAAGAGGGAAATAGAAATGAAATTGTAAAAATTCCCAGCCTGGAGTGACGAAAGCTGGTGTATCAGCCCCTGGTGATGTATTGAAGGTGACAGCTAAGTCGCTTTAGCACCTGCATAAAATATTAAAGGGCCGGTTGTGCATTTATCACTCCATCCCTTTTAAGGTTGATAAATGAGAATCCAGGAACCTGCTCTGCACCTCCAGCGCTGCAAGCCCTTAGGGCTCCCAGACAAACACATTTTATTTTTCCTCCTCCTTTTGCTCCTTCCCCAGTGATGGGGAAATCAGTTACTGAGGAGAGAGTGAGTTATGGCAAAATTTGACCTCTTGTGAGCTTTATTGGTGAATGTAATTTTAGCTAGAAACCTGGCCCTTTTCTTACACTCAGCCCTTTGGCCTCGAAGAGGAGGATTTACTAAACTGCTTTGGCATGGACCTCTGGCACTAAGAGTCTCTCGCAAGCAACCCACGTAGCGCATGCCTAATGAGAGGAGGAATGCTGGCTCCCTCCGTTCAATAAAGAGGATGGGATGCGATCTCCTCCTATATCTGCTTGGATTTTAATTTAAAGTATCTCACGGGGAAAGGCTACAAGTAAGGGAGTTGGGCTTACAAGCCATTGTGTGCTCAGTGACAGCCTAGCACTCCTGGTCTGCCCTTACCTTCCTCTAAAATTAAATTGTAGCTAGGGAGTAGCAGAGCAGATGATCAGGATCACAGAGGTGAAGGAGCAGTTTCCCTGTGCTTTTTAAGGCTAGCTAGTGAAGCTCATGATGTTCACTTCCCGTGTCTTTAGCGTTTATTTTCCTCACTCTTTCTGTGCTCACATAGAATTGTGTCTGTGTGTGGTTCTGGTTGGACTGTGCAGTGCTTTAAACTTTTTGTTTAGCTGTATAGTTATTACAGTCAGTTGTCATAAGCATTGGATGTCTATGTCCCCCGTCATTGTCAGTACTACTATTAGATCATCCTCTTAGTCCTGATAAACAAAACTACTCAGTCCATTCCTATCCCTCCATGTGCATGTGTGGTTTCTTCCTTTACCCCCACAAAATACCCGAGTTTTTGAGGCATGGTCTTTCAGCATGGTCTTCAACCTCCTCTGTTGTCAGTGTTGTTCTGTCCTTGCTTGATTAATATTCCTTTTTAAAAAATTTATTCACTGGATTGTGATTTATTCTGTGGATTGTGATTTGACCCTTTCATTCAACACCAGTCATTTGGACAGTGTCTTTGAAATGGGACTCCAGGCTGGCAAGCTGTGTGTAATTGATGTGATGAAGCTGTGTAAATACATGGTGCTTGCTTCTTGATGCTTTTTCTTCTATGTTTAATTGGAATTTTTAAATTGGTTAAAGTTTGCATTACGTAAGTGGGCTGCTTTGCTCCCTCAGAGGTTAGATTCTAGCAACATCAATGCTGTAACCTTCCCTGCTAGAGGGCTGCACCACATGCATAGACACTTACTTCAGCATGTAATACTTAAAAAAAAAAAAAAAAAAAAAAAAACCTCGCTATGTTCAGGAAGCTACAGGGTCTTCCTCCCTTTAAGACCCTGTGCCACCTTCAGGAGTGGTTACACAGGCAGCCAGAAGAGAACCAAAGGGTTTGGAAGAGAAGAGCTCAGCTAAGTACAGTTGTGAACTCCCTGGTAACTACCTGTGGTTACAAGACCTTTTGGATTAGCCTGCTTCCCTTGGTGCAAGATGGGAGCTGCTTGTAGATAACTGGAATGCACGAGAGCCTCCTGGTGATGATCATGTGGAGCATCCTCCTTCCCCTCGCTTTGGGTGGCAGAGGCCACTGCTAAAAGCCTGACTCCACCCGAGTACCTGGGATGTCTCTAGTACATGTTTTCTTGCTTCCTTCTCCAGAACATGCCTGTGCTGGCAGGGAGACTCTACAGCCCTAAAAAAAACCCTCTTTCCTAAGCAGGAGGTTTTTTTTATCACCAAGCTTTTGCCTGGTGTTGTGAGATGACAAGATACTATCTGCAGCATGCCTAGCCGCTCTGTGCAAGAAGTTTTTGTGAAATTTGGGGAACCGAAGCAAAGCTGAAATGATCTATGCTAGCTGATTATATTTATTTTTAAACAAATTAAACTTTTTCATGCCCCCTTTGGCAGTTTTCATCGTTTCCCTAGCTGCTGGCGCTCAGATTTCCTCAGTTAGACCTGCTGTGTGCACTCGTAAACTTAAGGTGACAGCCGTCTTCTTTTCACTGCAATGTTGGCTCTTTCCTTGTTTTGAAGGCAGAGTTTTTAATTTACACATTGCTGAATTACAAATCGCTTTTAATTTACACATTTTAATTTACACATTTAATTTCCACAAATGCTGAAGCACAGCATTTTGGAGATACCCTCTAAAGCTAAAACTGCTTTATCTGGAGTTGGCAAGACCCTCATTAACCCTCCTCATCTGGGGCTCTCTTCTCTTCACTGAGAAGTAGCAGCAATGTGGAAATCAAAGTCTTTTTTAATGCCAGACAGTCTTTGCCAGGTTTCATGGATGTCACGAGTGTTTGAAGAGGTGACATGGGGAAGTATTTAAAATTGGATGGGAGAATAGATGCCTGTGTGTCTCCTCAATTTCTGTTTTAATGGTGTGTTGCTCTGAGGAGGTATTAAGGGGGGCAGGAAACTAGGCAGCATTTATTGTGTGAAAAGTTTAGGCCATTGGGCAGCATTTTAGAAGGAACTCATACTGAACACAGGTTCTGGCTTTTTTATATATTTTTTAATTGAATTTAATGGATAAATTTCATGTCACTCTCAGGGTGAAGAAAGCTCTTCACTAATATATGAAGGATCCTGTTAGGTTCTCAGGTGTAATAGAGTGTTGGGAGATTGTGGGATTTTTTGTTTGTTTTTTATGGTGTTATTTTGAGGGGGAGAGGGAAGGTCAGGGAAATGAATCAACTTTTTTTATTTTTTTTTCCCCCTGAAAAAAGTCTAATACTTAAACTCAAAGTGTCACTTGTGTGTTTCCTAGGATGAAGCTTTCATGCTTTCAAAACGGTTCTGGCGAATATTCGCCCTTCTGACCTGAGCGGCTCTTCTAGAAAGTGGGATTTCTCCTGGCCTTGCAGCTGCAGATGCCCAGTCAGTTCTAGTGCAGCAGATCAAAGCACACCCTGCCGTGGCTTGGCATACTTGAGACAGCAGGTAGAAGGAACAGGAGATGATAGTAGGAAGGTGTATGGCATGACTAGGTAGTGCCAACATCAGTACATGAGCTCTTAAGCTGTTGGGTTTGGTGTAGGCATTCGTTCAGAAATTATTTGGTACTTTTAGCTGTCCTTCTGATTTCATAGATTGTCCTTTTTTATTGCTTAACTCGATTGTCCAAAACTGGAGGACTGCAGGCTGTCAATGAAGATATTGACAATTATAGTGGATTTGGGGCTATTGAATTTCAGTGCAGATCCTGCTAAAAGTAGGGAACTGTCCTCTTTTCTAAGAGTTTTGTTTTCTTCTGTTCCATTTTTGTTTGGGATGAGAGCAGAAGGCTACCAGTATGAAACATGTGCCTAGTCTTGTTTTAATCAAATTCTTGCTTCTAAGTGGAAAACCATGCAGAAGTCCGAATTGTTTCCCTGTCTCAGAACTGTCTTACAAGACTAGAATTTCTCTCGAATTACCTGAGCATTCAATAACCCCCCTGTCTCAAGGCAGTGAGGTACGGTTCTGGTGAGAGACTTCTTCCCCCTCTGATGCTTTTTGTTGCAGGGGAATTTTTCATGCAATCTCTGTCTAATGAGCTCCACGCCAGTCTCTGTTTAGGAAGCCTACAAGACTTTGCAAGGGAAAGCATCAAGTGTCTCTTCTGTTTTTTTAACACTCCACATATTTGTAGCGATTCTTCTATTTCTCTCCCGAATGGATGCACATTATCCTCAGTGTTTACACTGTAAGGTTATCCCTTTAAAGAATTCCTGAGGGAAGTTCAAAAGGTTTTTTTTCTTTTTCTTCCTTCTTTGAAAGCTTCAGTGTCTCTTTTTGTGTGTGTGTCTTACTTGAAAGAAGGGAAGGGGGGGAGAGTGAAAAAAAGTGTTTTATCTGAAAAGAATCGCATCAGCTTCGCGCTGATAGAAGCCGCTGTCATCTCTTAAACGGCTTAGCACAGTCAAAAGGCAAGAAGACTTAAAACAGTGTCTTACACAGGGATCGATGGGTGGAACACATAACTGGTAACTGCAAAAAAAAAAAAAAGACGGGGGGAGAGATAACGGTAATGATTGCATTGAGGGAAGCTTGAGGGAGGCTTGTTCTTTGTAACACAGCTTCAAAGGTGTCTGGAGTGGTGCCTAAGCAAACTCTGCTGTGAAGTCGCTGCCTCGGTGGGTCTAGGCAGGGAGAAGGTGGGGGGATCCTTGCACCCTTCTCTCTCTTAGCAGATGGGACAAAGTTGATTAGCAAATGTCAGGTTAGCAGCTCCCTTCTGCCGCCTCGCCTCTGCGGAGGGATTTCTGCTGGCAAGTCTCTTGCCGTTCCTTGTGGGAAAACTGTTTGGCCAGGAGCGGGGAAGGAGGGGAGCGGTTGGGGGACACGGGGGGACGGGATGTCAGTTTATCGATCGCACCTCAGCGAGGAGAGCTGCGGGCGCAGCGCTCTGAGCACGAGCGGCAGCGTGCTTAATGTGATTGAAAGGCA